TACTTGTTCCTCCCACCCCCAATTTTCCAAGCCTGAAGCATTAGCTTCTCCACTTGAGGGGGGCTTAGCCCTGTTGTCTGGTCCACTAACACTTCTTTCAGGTTCCCTATCGGCAGTGCAGGCGCTAGAGCGCGTGCCTGTAGATCCGGAAACCAGAAGCACTGAGTCCAACGGGGTGCTACCAACAAGTATGTTCCTACTGCACTGTTCAAGTGTGCTAGGACCCTGGGTATCATGCTTGGAGGTGGGAATACCCACGCCAGATGGAACATCCATTTTCGACTGAAAGCGTCGCAGAAAAGCGCTGAGCCATCTTTTGAGTTTAGCGTTACATACCTGGGTACTACAGCACTTTCTCTTGTTGCGAAGAGATCGACTTCTGGTATGCCCCACCTTTCGAATATTGCCTCCGTGGCCGGTGGTAAGAGATGCCATTCGGGTACTGACCTTCCCCTTGACAGGCAATCTGCGATGCCGTTCAGGTTTCCTGGTAGGTAAAATGCTGTCATTGTGATGTTGAAACGACAACACACTTCCATTAACCTGGTTGTTAGTCCCAGTAATTTCTGCGACCGCGTCCCGCCCTGATTTCGGATATAGGCTACAAGAGTCCTGTTGTCCGACTGTACTAGAATGTGGGCGTTGGTTAGCAGAGCACCTTGGGAACTGATGACTGCGAAAACTGCGTACATCTCTTTCATGTTGGAGTGCCAGTTTCTTTGATTTATCGACCATCTCCCCGAAAGGTATTGGCTGTTCAAACTTGCTCCCCAGCCCGCATCCGCTGCGTCTGTGGTTAAGAAATGCGTTATTTCTTTTTTGTGTAATGGGGTTGGACTGCCCTCTATCGCATCCAACCACCATCGCAAATCCTCCCGTACTTTGAAGCAAAGTGGTCTTTTTTGTGTTCTTTGACTGAACTTTTTTAGTAAGACTTGTGCCCTGCGACAATGAAGCCGGCCTTGAGGGATTGCATGGTTGGCAAAATTTAGCATGCCTAGTAAAGTCTGAAGTTCTCTCAACGAGCAACTGTTTCGACTCAATATATTTGTTAGAAAGTTTTTTATACGTATTACTTTCTTGGTCGGCAATGCTATTGTCTGGTTGTGTGTATCCCAGACCAGTCCCAAGTATTCCAGCCTGTGCGTAGGTGTGGTTACGGACTTCTGATAATTTATATGCCAACCTAGAGATTCCAAGATGGTGAGAGTTTCCGCAACCTGAGCCATAAGCTTGGATTTGTCCTGAGATGCCAGGAGAAAATCGTCCAGGTACACCAAAAGGCGTATGCCCCGTTGACGAAGTACTTCGGCCACCCAGTTTGTTACTGCTGCAAACGTGCGGGGTGCTGAAGACAGGCCGAATGGTAGTGCTGTCAGCTGGAGTATTTCTCCATTGTAAACCACCCGTAAAAACCGTCTGTGAGTCTCCGCGACACTCAGATGGAAATAGGCCTGATGAAGATCGATCTTTACTAACCAGTCGTTTGTTTGGAGAAAATTTATTATATCTACCTGTGATATTAGGTAAAAATGTTTTGTCGCTACAAAAGTGTTCAAAGCTTTGAGATCGAATATTGGGCGCAAACCCCCATCCGGTTTCTTTATTAAAAACATCTTTGAAAAGAAACCCGGATCTGAAGCTAAAGGTTTTTCTAAAATTCCTTTGCACTTCAGGTCTTTGACCATCTGTGTCATTTCTGGAGATACTTTGGTGGATAGGCATTCTAAGAACTTTTGAGTTGGGAATTTCAGAGGAGGTTTCTTTCGGAAAGGTAAATGATAATTTGCTATTGATTTCAGAATAAACTGATTTGCCCCTAGCTGAGCCCAATTCCCTATGAAAAACTTTAGGCAACCACCACTGAAATTCTGTTGTGAGTCAATTGTCTTTGTTGGACTTTGAATTTGATGTCTCAAAGGGACGTTGCTGACGAAAGGGCTGAGTCTTTTTAATTGAATTTTTAAATTTCCTATCTATCTTTTTAGATTTATTTTTAAAATTGTCCTTTTTTAGATGATATGTATGATCTCTACGCACTGATACTTTTTTATCTTTTAAATAGGTTGGAGTATTCAACCAAACTTGAGATCCTCCAAGGGACTGAATTATAGGCTGTAAGGCCTCTCTACTGAACAAATACTCAGAACTAGGTGGAACATTTCTTAAAGTAGTTTTAAGATTTTCATTTACAATTTCCTTTAGTATGCGATCACGCCTAACTTCTATACACTCAGAACGCTTTCCACATATAATCTGCATAGTGGTCTCAGAGTTCTTATGGCATGAAGAACCAGGTCCAAATGTAACAGAAAATTTCTCAAATAAAGTGTTTGGATTTAAATTCTGTGGGTTAGCACAAGCCCAGTCGACAATAGACTGTAAACCTGAATGCAATAATTGCCTTTGCTCCAAAACTTTGTTCGACAAACCCGCTAAAAGTTGTTCTGTTGAAGCAAGATAGTCTTTATTACTATTAAAATGACACAACTCATCATTTACACGAAGTCCTGTAAACCCAGGGGTTGCTAAACAGCTCTGCAGGACTCGCTTGTACCTAATACCCTTCCAAGCTTGAGAATCAAACTGTTGTAATTTGTTCAATTCTAAAAATCTATCCATATCACTTGGTGGAATAATCTTTTTATCGTCAATGTCAGTGATCAAAGATCCCCAATCAAGAGACAATGGCTCGGGTTGTGTGGGAAGTGTAATAAATTGCCTTGAAGTATCCTTACTAATGTTTTCACTAATATTCTGTGACATCCCGCTAGTACTAGTACTTGGTATTGGATTTCCAATATTATTCTGGTTACTATTATTGTAATAAACCGGATACTGGCTTAAATAATTTGAAATATAAGACACTTGTGATATTAATGTATCAATACGAGGATCAGTGGGTACAGATTTTGGCTTGTACTTACGGTTTCGCGCCGACGAGCGAGAACGTTTATTGGGCAACGGTGACGCCATGCCCTCCTCAAACTCCGAGGATGAGGAGGAGCTATTGTCTGATGCCCTAGAGCTTGTCGATGATTGTTCTCCATCCGAAGCAACAATATCGGTTCGCTCCGTACTTACCGGTTCCATGATAAAAAACCTACACTGCTGTGTTTTCACCAAATACAACTTACGTTTCGTTCTACTAAAGAACACAGTGTTCTAAAGTGCAATACTATACGAACACTCACTAAAACTTAAATAAGTTTAAATGAAATTTATGGAAAATAAAAAATTTGTGTATTTCTTTCGAATCACAAGAATGCAATGACAAATGACGACGAAAATGGCGGTAAAATCGTTGGCGCCCTCTGGTGTCAGAAATATGGAGGTAAACTCAATATTTTATTCAAATTTCGAAGGAATTTCCACAGAATCATAAGGACTGCTTCTTCATATCATTGCTGTGTTTTCGAAGGCATATAATGCTTACTTATTGTCGTTGATATCACGTTCCGTTATTCGTTGCAAGCTGCATGCATAACTGTCAAGGCAATAACTGACTGTAAATGATCGTAATAATTTGCTATGAATTGCCTCATTTGTTCTTTCCATAATAGTTCTGTACTGTCGAACATAATATTAAAGCTATTAATTCTTTACACCCACACTTAATCCAGTTTAGAAATAATAAGAAACGTAAGTAAGTAGGTATGATAAAATAGAATTGATCTCATGTATTTTCAACTTGTTAAAATTGCCAATTTCTTATGATTTTCGTACGGAATTATACATATAATTATATGTTGTGTCGTCTGTCTTTTTGCGTCAAATAATATACCCACATAAATATTGAAAATTAACTTAAAAAAATACTTACGAATATCAAGTACTATATAGTATGTATAGTGTTCACAGGCAAAGGGTTTTAAAATTAGTCTGTTAGTTCAAAGGATTACAGTTTTACCTCATTATAGTAATTTTTATGTTAAAAAATATGATTCGAACTACCTATAATCTACAGACTTTTTCATTTGATGCTTTGCAAAAAGCCCCTGTCTGAATTATACTAGCAATACGCTTGAACGCGTAACTACAGTTCAACTAAACGAGGCGCGATGATTAGGTATATATGCGTTGAATGATAATGTCTACTTATTATTACTGCTTGCATCATTACCAATATTTGCGATGATGACAAATCAACGGATAGACTGTTGAACCTAAACCGGTCCCAAAATGATGTCATTCATAACCTGTTCAGAATTTGTTATTTTGACCGTTCAACCAGTTTACACAATGTCAACAGTCAACACCATAAGTCACGTTGCGTCGCTAATTTTAACGTTTTTATACAAACAATTTATGAAAACGAAAATATGATTATACTTCTAATACTTTTAAAATGATCGATTAAACTTCAATACTAATGAAAAGAGGAAGAAGTTATGTGTGTGTTTGGATTGAATAGGCTACGAAAGAACTTGACCTATTTGAAAAAAACATTTTACAGTTGAAAAACTCTACTATTCTTGTAAAACCGCGAGTTGTGGCTAGTTGTAAGTAATTTTTTTGGTCAAGTTATTGATTATTATTGACTCATGTTGCGCCTGACAAATTTTGTTGAGCAACACAATACTTGAAGTTGCATTGCTTTGCGTTCGTTTAATTTTAGAATTCGAATAATCTTAAAGCAATGCCTACTTTGGCTATTATTGGCACTTAAATTGTAGTTTAATGTAATTAAACCAACTTGTACACCTTTACAGCAACACAGACTAAATAAATGTACCTACATAATTTGTTCAAATAAAAATACTTATCATTTAATTTAATGCCATTAAAATTAATGGCAGGTGATAATATTTTCCTGCATTGTGACTATTAAACAACTTCCGTGAAAATGATACAAAGTTCAATATCAAATGAGCCAACATTTTAGCTTTAATTGAGACTTGCAGAACCGCAACATAATAAAATAAGTGGAAGACCTTGGGTGCATTCGCGTTGATGCTGCAAGCAAATAGCTTAATTAAATTCCATTTGAGAGGGAGCGTAGCGCGCCGGTCAGTCGCAGGCATGGCGTCCCGCCGTCGCCATAGCCCTCAGTTGCCATAGCTCGTCGATACATTACTCCCGGCCCACGCATGCGCCCTCTGTCGATCCCCCGCACTACGCATGTGCGGCCGTATACCAGACAACGAGGCAGCCAAGTTGCGACACACGACTCCTCTTTACGCGACACTGTCGCATAATTGATTGTCCATTTGATACTGACATTGAACGGCCGATGTACGACGGCCGACTGCTCGATTATAACCAGTTATTTGCTTACGGCTATCGAGATAAGGCGCTTCCACGCGAGTCCACGCGACGTCCAACATCCCCGCGATCAGCTGGTATAACTCGCGAATTCGGTATGGCATCGTACTGTGATAAATATTGTGCATCTAAGGTTTGCGTGATGTAAACAGTGTTGAGAGTGCAAGTGAGTGGTTAAACATGGAAGTTGCTAAGGAAAAGAGCGCAGTGATGGAGGAGTTTGAAGAGGACGAAGTCGCGTCCCGCCGCTGCATGTTAGACGGTGAGTCTAATCGATACAATGCATTATAGAATGCGTCATCTATCGGTGTACAATTAAAATAATGCATCTTTTAATAATGTGCGTATTGTAAGCGATGACATCAAAGACAAAGAAAGATCATAACCGTGTGACGTGACGTCTCTATTGATGGAAGTGCATACCCACTTATTGATTTTCTCCACGAGCTCCGGAGACAGAGGACGGCGGAGAGACGGAGCTTGTTTACACAACTCGTGTCTTTAGCAAATGTTTGCTAATATATTAATAGCATTTCAAAAACCCAAGCATGTTGAAACTAGCTATAATAATTTTAAGTTTTGAAATTATTTATTATTTAATTACCTATCTAAATGTACAAAATTAATATCAATAAAACGAAAATACTTGATTTAGATAACATAAATCCTTTAATACTTTTAAATGTGACAAATGTCCTCAAAGAAACAGTGTATCGAGTTGCGAAATTGACATAATCCAAACAAAATAATCAAGCTAGTAACAATTTGATAACGCGGATAACAGTACGAATGTCGTTTAATTACAACACCGGCTTACTAAAGAGTTGCGAGGTCGGGCTATTAACATGTATACTACTATACGGGCAATCAGTGTTTAAATTAGGGCGACACCAATGATGTATAAATCTATAGATACGTTGTCCGCGCTCTAAAATGACAACATGAAATGAAGGCAATTGACAACATCGCGCTTAGTTACGCACCAACCTGCCGCGCGACGCTACGTTTGTTTTTAATTTATATCGTGTGTGTAAACCTGTGCGAAACATAAGTAAAGCATGCCGTCGTGTGTGTTCAGACGATGTACAAATTATACTCCAAAAGTTAAAGACAAAAATGTGTCATTTCATGCGTAAGTTCACCAAACAACCTATTTTTATTTTATTTTTTTCGACGCCGGCGCCCGCCATCTTATGGCGGCCATCTTATGAAAATGTAGTTTTACTATTACTTATCCTGTGATGTAACTGAAGATGTATATTTATCTCCCTCTAGCAAAGGCATTCCACTATACGATGTCATATTTTCTTTCCCTTTCTTTACTATTAGAAGTATTTATCTAGTATTTTCGCCGTTTTTAAGCGCCACGATGTTGGTTCATGACGTGTCTATATATAATACGTCATTGGGCGACACACATTACTCTCACGTGACAAAGACACGCTGCAGTTTCGAAACTCAGCTATCTAGAACCGTCTTACAATATGAAGAAAGAAAGTATTTAAACTAAACATTATATGTGATGACCACATTGAAGTCTGACCTCTATTTCAAGATCTATTGTCCCATGCATTCCAGTGACATGACTCTCTGACCTCGTTGTGAAGTTGAGGCTGCTGGTGTACGTATGACTCATACTCAAGGAAGCTAACGAAATGACATTGAAAACTGGAGTTGTCAGTGGTGGGACGCGAGCGACCGGACGCCCCTTTTTGGCAAGCTTTTGCATTGTGCCGCGTCGCAGAGGGCGTTGACCGGTTCCCCTCGGTAACTTTTATAAGGTTTTAAAATCGATATGTTTAAAGGGTTTTAATGACGGTGTAACCCATCTATAAACATAATTTGGGATAGATTATAAAGCTTCTAATTAATTTATTAAATTTGGAATTAAATTCTTAATTGAAGGAGATCTATCTACCTCACATGACCACTGTGAACATAGTTCTATTACACAAGTAACGGTATAGTATAATATGTATAAGTTATTCATACTAGGTAATATTAACACTTACTTAATTTAATTTACAAAATGAAGTAAAACCAACTTGTAAGACATCAAATATTGGATACATGTTCACGTTCCCAAAGTGTCGCGTTACCTGTGGTTTACTTAGCTCGTACTTATTTAACTAATGCAATATAATGCGTGACACATTCTGACATCATTAATCTGATTAAGTTGGAAAGAACAAGACGGTTCCTTTTTCAAAATTTAAATAACGAAAAATAATATTACATTATAAACCGTGGGTTTATTAGTCTCTAAATTATAGCTATAAACATTATATACCTATCTATTTATGTAGGAACAACCGACACCTCGTCATTCAACCATTTTAAAATTACAGTTCGAATTTCAAACAAAAAATACCGACGCCATTTTTTATTTATTTCTTCTTTAATTTTTTATTGTTTGTATTCAGTTTCTTGATATGCTTGTTGTTTAAAAATTAATTCTAAATTAATATTTTAATGAGATTCTATTTTGCAGTCGTGTTGACCGGTGAACTTTCTATATGTTGCCTACTTTCTATGTCAAGTCTAGTACTTGCATACGTAAAAACATCTCGTTTCACTATTCGTACGGTAGCATTTTTTCTAGAGGGCGCAGCAAGCAATTTGAATGTCAACTAGTGCTGACCTCTGTAAATTTGTTGCATTAAAATAAGATATATTCATGTGATTATTTCTTAGCGTCCATATGCATGAAACACTTCCTTAATGTTTGTTTGCTGAATAAATAAAAGCTGCCATTTTAGGCCACTATGAAACACTTCGGTTTGGGCTTGTTGTTCTTAACTCTTTTGCTATTTTTATGAGATTCAGCATAAACAGTCCTTTAATAGATCAATAGGCCTACCCTTTTAGTTGCTAACTACAATCCAAACCGCTGAAGTCCAAAGACAACAACAAAATGCTTTATTTTTCATCCGTTCGTTTTTAAAGAGACTTAATGGAATGCACCTTTTTTAAATGTTACCACAGTGGCAATAAACCCTTCGTCAACACTATTAAAACTGAAATTATTATTATAGTTAAGTAAGTATATAACATTTTGTTGTAATAAACAACTGAGTTCAAGCTCTCAAGAGCTAATTATAGGATTTAAATTTCCGTTTTAACATGACTATACATGGATTCGCCTGCCCTTGAACCGTGCTTGAGCATCTTGGACCTGATGGCTGAACCGGTTCCAACAATTTACCGGATTGTCTCTTGAAATTGAACACAAAGCTCAGGAAGTCGGAAAAGTTGAATATTTATTGCCGACTTTAAAGACATGAATTATTAATGTTGACTTTTGCACGGAAACCGAATCTGTAAATATTGTACTTTAAAAATAGTGAGATGGTAACTAGCTTGAGTTTTATTCTTCGACGCGGGAAAAAATAAATAATACTATCATAGTTTATTTATCAACATAGTTAGGGACAGAAGGTAGGTATGACATAGGTACTTACTTATAGCGACTTGCCTTATTCTATTGTAACAATGTGTTCCTTTTATCAGGGAAAAATCATCAAATGACTTCTCCCGTCCAAGGTAAGGCGAGAGAGAGTGTCAGGCTCTTACTGACTAAAAAGCCCCCTTTGCCTTCTCCTGCCTCATTGTCCTTATCTTGAACCCCGCTCTTAAGGTACCGGTCTTCGGTTTTTCTTTCTTAAGCTAACTCGAATTTTAAGAGACAGTGTCAGTGGATTTAGCAAAGTATACATAGTTAGTAAAAACGATGGTGCTTATCACTGCATATTTTATAAACTAACTTTGGTCAGGAAGCCTAGTATTATGTCACTTAAGTAATACAACGCAAGGTATAATTGTTTATCAAAGTCGAGCCGATACGAAGAAGTAATTGTGGACATTCCATCGCAATGACACGCTAGCTCCTATTACCTGCGCCGGCGCAAGTTGATCCGCGTTACTGTCATGTTCCAAGGCGCTTTAGATGGCGCCATGTGCAAAAAAACTTTTGAATATTATGCTATTCATGTTCTATGAATAAGTATTAGGAGTAGGTACTTATATGTATGTTTTAAATATCCTCTAATTTATAACTCAAGTTTAAAAAAGAACAGATTCTTAAAAGTATGTTCAGAAGAAAATGTCTAAATTCTACTAAGGTTAAGAATAATTGTCTACTTTCCCTTTTAATCGGGTCTGGGATATACCTTCAGTATTTTTGCAAATGGCTGACTTTATAGCTTTTGTAATTATATTAACTATATACGTCCCTAAAAAGAAATGTTAAGGATTAAGGAACTGGAAAAGTTCAAGTGACAATTATAAAAACTCTTTAAGCAAAACCTCGGGTATATTCCTCCTCCGACCTCCTTTATTCAAGCTACCTACTTCGCTTCTTGACTCATCAATATCTTATCTTCATGAACAGCAGCTGTACGTAATTAACTCTTAATAGTCCTGAGAAAATCGTTCAATAAGTAACGTGCCTCGAAATATTGCTTCATAACGAACGATTGTAGGTAATAATGTTTAATTGGTTCAAAGAGAACCTAACTATAATAGTATCACACAGAAAACCGGCGTGAAACAACCACAGCGTTGTGTTTCGCCGTGTGAATGAGGTTACCGGAGGCCCAATCCTTTTCCTCCCCCAATCCCTCCTCAATCTCCAAATCCCTAATCCCTAAAAGGTCGGCAACGCACTCGTAACTCCTCCGTTGCGGGTGTCCATGGGCGGCGCTGATTGCTTACCATCAGGTAATCCGTCTGCTCGTTTGCCGACCTATTACATAAAAAAAAGTATATCGTCTACAGAAGGAATAGTTGCTTTGGGTCTGCAAGCAAGGGTAGCTCGTCGCCCGACCAGTAGCATGATAAGGAACAGGGTGGATTTTAGACAGCACGACTCTGACACTCTCTCTCGACTCATCATTGGCAAGAGCCATTTGATGACCTTTCCCTGACAAAAAAGGAGGAATATTTGCTTAAAATTTTATGGTTTTGTCACCTTTGTCGAATCAATCAATCAATCAAAAAAAAACAATGGTCACTCGAGTTTTCATCTCAAGTAAGAGAGCCAGAACCTATAAAATCCCTTACTTGTAACTACCTAATCAAAAAAAACTAAATGTTCTCGAGCTTATAATTTGTGTACTTATATCACTTACTTATTTATTTGCAAGGCACACCTGTTTTTGTGCACCTGTCAGAATTATTTCTAAGAAATGTTGAATATTTAAGAAATATTTAGGAATCATAATTCGACTGCTCAGTTGACGTTGTGGTTGGGTCAATGGCTGT